CCCCAAAACCCCAAAACCCCAAAACCCCAAAACCCCGTTTAGCACTAGATTAATATTTTAGTTCTTCAGTTTTGATCTATTTTCAAAATCTTGGTTTCTTGTATAGGATTTCGGCAGGTATGGCTTAATTGCTTTAGTGAATTTTTCAAGAGCTTCTCTGATTCCTTCCACTACAGAACGAGAGACAATACCCTGGATGTTTCTCAGATGACTCTGATGAGTGTAATACCTATGATTCGGGATAAAATCTTACACTTGTTGTTTATTGCTGGTGCTTTTACCTCTTCTTAAAATTACACCTTTGATCATTTTTCGGAAGCCTTCTTCAGTGTGAAGGTTGTTTTTGATTGCCTTGCTCTACTGCAAGGAATACTTGTTGAAAATATTTGTGATCATCCTCTTGTGATCAGGTTTCCCTGTGGGCCTAACCACCATCCTAGTGTAACTAATCCTAGATTTACCCTTGAGATATTGAGTTTTCGGCTTTTTTGCAGCAGCGAATGAAAAATTTGTCGACCTTCTTTGCCCCAAGGGAATTACTGGTGAAAACAGTAAAGATTTCTTATGAGTAAAATCTGCTGAAGCGTTTATTGCTCCACCTGGCTTGAGAGAAGGAGAAATCATTAACTGTGATGAGCTCTTGCTGTTCATATTCATCTCTCGATCTGGACTGACTAGCTCTGAGAATGAAGACTTTTGTTTCGAGTTAACTTTGGACAGCCTGAAATCACTTCTTTTGCTTCCCTGTTCATATTCTTCAATGAGATGTCTATAGCCCTGAGACTTGAGTTTCTCTCTAGCATTATTTCACCATGGTAGAGGCGATTCTTTTGACTACTGAATTGTCTGGTTCAAAGTCTCCTTCGATGACTCTTTTCATGAAATACATTGCATTTTGGATTTTGCCGAGGTAGTAATAAGACATACAGATGTTTTCATAGGCAGTCATCTCATTGACCATATCCTTCTGGTCCCAAGACAGCTCAAGTTGTAAGATATGGAACTGGATTGAGAGCTGATACTTCTTCTGAAACCTGTAGACCACGCCGAGTTGGTTCAAAATTGAGATTTCTTCTCTGTACATTTTATGCTTCTCGCAGAAATCAATGCATCTGTGGAGCAGAATTACTCATTCTTGGAAATCTCTGAACTCAATCAGGATCTCTGCTTTGATCTTCTTGACTAAGAGTCTAACAACTGGAGTTTTATGGGTCTCAAACTTCTCTTCAATTATGGAATATAACTCAAGAATACGCTTCTTGTTCAGATTGGAGTTCTCACAGAGCTCAACTATTCGGTCACAGATGGACTTGACCTCTTCCCAGGTCAAACTATTGGAGATATCTGTAGGAATAATTATCTCTGGGATGATCTTTTGGGTTGTTGTGTACAAATTCTGAAGTACTTCTATCTCTTGAGAGTTTGAATTCTAGGAGAATTTGAAAATACACTTACCATTAAATTCGAATTTTGGTATCTTTCTTTCTTATGTTCTTTGATGTTTAGAAATTGATCAATATTTGCAGTGTAATTCATGAAGTTAGGTCTTATATTTTCTCCTGATTCACTGTGTTATCTAAGATCTGAGTTCTGTTCCTGGTGATGTACTCTCCCATATTCAAATTTTCAGCCTTCTCAAGTATTTTCGATTTGCTCTGGGCCATCTCTTTCTTAGTTTCTGATGATTTTATTGTGCTTTCAGATACTTTAAATTTATTTAACCGAAGTTATGGCTTTATTTTGATGATCATTTTCTAAATGTTAAAGCAAGAGATTACTAAAAGTTGACCTGTAAGAGTCCATTTCAGGCATCGATGCATCATTACTTGTGCAGCTATCACTCCGCCTTCTTACAGAATTAATTGCTGAAAGGAATTGAGATCCTTTGGATTCCTTTCTTCTATGAAACTTGCGTCGTTTCCTGAACAGGGAATAGCTCTGTACCTTATATCTCTTCTTTTTCCGACTGATTTCATTGTTTTCCCTGTTCATATCTGCAGATAATCATGAGGGCTTACCGAAGATTCTCACTGCTTTAGAGGGTTCACTGGCCATTTGGGATATTTCTTCCTGTTCTTTTTGTATTTCTCGTTTTTCTTTACTTCATTACAAAAGCTTTGAAACGCTTTTTCTTTTCCTTTGTGGCTGGCAACCCTATGTTCATGAGTATTTGGTTCTGATTTTTAGTGCATGAGTGAATCTTAAGCACCTTTGTATGATCTATTAATGACAGAATCCGTTCAATAGAGTCAGGCCCTATGAAATATTACTCTACTACTAAAAATACCAGTGTACCGGTGCCTGTTCGTACGCTTAGTCAGTGACTCAGTATTTTTGAGTGTAGAACACGGGTTCGTTTTCGAAGGGTTCTCGAAGGGCTTGGAGAGGATAGCATCGGTGTTGGGGGACAGGCCGGATTGGCCGTCGGTTTTAGACATTTTTGTTTGAAATTTATGTTGTTTTTTTGGGGGTTTTGGGGTTTTGGGGTTTTGGGG